CATTATGTACCCACTTACTTTGAAGGGATTTATGTACCTTGCCTTCTTTCTTTTCAACGCTGATTAATATCAACTAATTTTTGCATCATTAGCTCTATATTGGTGAGGATCGTTGACAAATTATGATAATGCCCCAGGGCGACCTCTATTTGGCATACTAATATTTTATGTTAGAAAAAGGGCAAATAGACGCGCAATCATTTTAGTGGCACCCTCATTTAAATTTTACTTCTTTTATTTAAGTAGTGCACCCTTACGCAAAGCGGTACGTACATATTTTTGTTCATGAATGCAAAAGTGTGTAGTATCGACGAGTTTACTATGAAAACCTTTGTGTGAAGTTTAATTTTCAGTACTATGCCAGTGTTTAAATATGCAACTGCAGTGCATAGAGAAGTGACAACGAATTGGAAACTTGAAACTTATGTAGTTTGAAATCTCGAAGAAAGTTAGACTCCCATATGAGAAATCCGGGTTCTGACACAAATTCTTTATTCATTGCACTTCAACTTCTTAAAATCACATACCTACCGTTTATACACATTTCTCGAAAAGATTTCAGTTGACAAGTGTACGTCTCTCTGAACGTGATCCGCGATTAAATGGGAGCGATAAAAATTAATGACAGGAACAAAATAATTTCCGTTACAATTTGTTATCTATTTCACGGAACATTGCATAATTCACGTACTGAGCACTGAACATCTACAACCTTGGCTAGATTTACAAAACGACAGCTTAATCGATTTTACGGCCAGCACCTCTCACTATTTAATTCCAATTTTCAAATGCAACTTGCCACCCTTTATGTCTGTGCAAGGCATTTGATTGTATTTGACACGAAGAACTAGCAGGTAATTTAAAGTTAGTTAACAATTTTCCATCCAGCGGGCTTTTCAAATTTTAATTAAATTGTGTACGCCCAAAACTAAATAAGCTGTTTCCAGGACCATTGTATTGTTATTGAAATCCAAAATCGATGTGTACGAAATTTCATTTTAATAAAAATAAAATTAATTAAAGATTAACCAAATCTGGGCTAACGTATTTATGCTGAGAACGTTCCGACTTAAGTGGAGTATGTCATTAGTACTTTGCTTAAGCTTCTCAATTTTTGGATGTGGTAGTCGCTGAATGTCTTTAATTAAATCTTGAGTAGTTACTTGTTCAGATATTAAATCGATAAATTTCTTTCTCAATTTCATGAGTCCATCTTATAAGATGCCTTCAATTTATTGAAATGCACGGGCGGTCAATTAATAATATCAATGTTAGATTTTCAGTAATGAGAGGATTCACAAAATACGCTAAGGATTGTTCAGAGCGGGGGCGGCGAGCGTCGCTTCGATACAGCGTTGCGGTGAGCGCCGTGACTGACGGTTCTTAGTATAGGAATCTTCTACGGGCGAATGTTCCTGATGCAAGTCGTCTGACGGAGAATTTTCCGGAGGTGAATCTTCCGAGGGCAGATTCTGAGTGGACACATTTTTCGATGGTAAGTTTTCTTGGGAGAGAATTCATCCGGACGCGTTTTCCGAAAATGTAGGAAAGCTCGGTTAATATGTAGGTAACATTGAAGGGGGACAATAACTTTAGGGGGTTTGGCATTGAAAATACGGATTGCATTAAAATTAAGCAAATGAAATTCAACACATATAAATTTACAGGGTGTAATGGGACCCCGGGACCCACCCAAGAGCTAGCGACTTATCGGCCTATCGTCCTTCGTCTTTAAAACGATTGAGAGGATAGTAGGGCAATACATAAGGGAAGAATTCACACTAACAAAATGCATACCAAAAGGGACGCTCTACGGAGATCTTCATAATCTCATCTCTAAGAGTGAGAAAAGCATTCTGGACAAAAATGGACCTTAGTTTGCTTTATGAACATTAAAGAGGCATTCAATTGCCCCTTCTATGGCTGAGTTTCACAAATTAAATCGGTTCAGCCGATTTTTCAGAGCCCAGGACCTAGTTATTTGTGAATATGCTCGCATGCGCCATTAATATTAATTTTTCCGCTTTGAGTGTAACATTTAAGCAAAAAATTGTGTGGCGGATGAGAACAAAGAAAAGATTATTCTTCCAAACATCCTGCGGATACAAAATATTTCTTTGAAAACTGTCCTCGAGGCCCCAAAATGATAACGATCTTTGAGCATTAAAAAAAAAGCGACTCAAATTTATTTTTGCAAAATTTCAAAAAAAATTCTTTGCACCAGAAAGTGTAATTTCTGCATTTGCAATGCATTTTAAGAAGAAAGTCTGGACATTTCATTTACGGGAAATTCTTCTCTGATTCTTTTTACCAAATCTGGTTCGTTGACTAACACAAGATTTCCAAAACGAGTCCCTAATAAGGGAACTAACTCTATAGTTTCGCATTTTTTCATATTATGCATTTTTGTACCTATCCCTTCTCCTTCTATATGAATTTTTTTTGCCGCCGTAAAGATACTAAACCATTTCACTCACTTGAGAAAAAAAAGATACGGGGTTCTGAAAGGATTTAAATCAGGAAATATCTCCGATACCGGAAGAAAACAGGTGTACAGGTCTACAGGGGGTGACTAATACAGCAGAAGTGGACAGAGTGAATAGTGGAAAGGGAGTGAAGATGAGGGAAAAGAAACGCAAGAGAAACAAAGTGTTCGATTCGCTGTATCATGTGAGAATATTGAGAACTTTAAAAGCATCAAACGGAGATGGCACTTCTAGAAGTTTTTGAATGAAGTGAGCCCAGTAATAGACAAAGGATCTGGTCAACAGAGGGAAACCTGGAATAAGTCGAGTGGAGGCAATACAGAAGACCAACAACTAATTCGATGGATACGGATTGTGGCGTGGAAAATTTTGAGATTGGAGGGAAGGAGTATATTGTGAGGCCTAATGCGTAAGGCATACTAAGGGTTCCTGGTACCATTAACAAAGGAAAGGGGATTGTCAAGACAGTCTCATGAGGCTATGAACCTGTTTGAGCGAATAATAGACAGAAGAATAAGTACCGGGTCGTGAAAATCAAAAGGTCAGTTTGGTTTCATGCCCGGAAGGAGAACAGACGCCTTGTTTATTCCTACTAGTGCACGAGAAGTATGACCAAAACAAAAAAGCTTCATCTCATCTTCATAGACTAGGGCGTGCGACACTGTACCAAAGAAGGAGATCTGGAGGTCTATGAGGATAGGGGTTAACAGAGACATATGAAGGAAGACACTCCAAATTTTTCCGTAACTGTGCTCTTGCACCAAGATTATGAGCTCATGTCACAGAGGATGTGTTGAAACTATGTATGTAAGAAAACAAATGGCTACAAGACGGGATCATACAACCAGAAACAGAAGGTTTTCTAATCGCAATTCAAGACCAAGTTATAGCAACACGAAACTACAGGAAATATATTCTAAAAGAAGACATGGAAAACGACAACTGCAGAAAATGTCACATAGCCAAAGAGACAATAGATCACATCACCAGTGGTTGTAAAATACTAGCAGGAAAGGAGTATACAAACAGACACAATCTTGTAGCAGGCATAATACACCAGGCACTAATACAGAAACACAACACCAATATTGACACACAACCCTACTACACATACACACCAACAACAGTCATAGAAAACCAAGACATAAAAATATATTGGGATCGAACCATACACACTGACAAAACAATTACACACAATCGCCCAGACATCACATACACAGACAAGCATAACAAAACAACATACCTAATCGACATCAGCATACCAAACGACGACAACATTCACAAAAAACACCAAGAAAAAATTGAAAAATATACACCCCTCGCACAAGAAGTCCAAAGAATATGGAAACAAGATAAAGTTTTAATACTTCCCTTTATAATATCTGTTACAGGTCTCACACACATCACATTTACACCAAACCTACAAACACTACAACTACCACTACGCACACACACACTAGCACAAAAATCAGTTATCCTCAAAACATGTAATATAGTGCGATCTTTTCTACACTGGCTATAAAAATAACAATAGGTATCAGTGGTACTTGGTGTTCACACCCGTCCATTGATGTAACTCCACAAAAGTGAGAAATTTAAAAAAAAAAAAAGTGGGCATCAACTACATTGGTCATTAGCCCTGTTTCTACAAAGACATTCCTTCCCTACCATGTTACTACACTCTCACTCTGTATCCTTTTCATAATCGTTCTTGTCGGGTATCGACCACCTTTGCGAAATACTATATTTTAGTAAAATAACTGGACTGCTTTAAATATAGTAAAGTACTCTTGATCCCTTGGACGTCTGCGAGACAATTCTCCAGATTTTGTGGTACGTCACATAAGTTACGTTGCACGGTTTGGGCTGGACAGTTACATAATATGTGTTCTACAGACATGGCATTATTATACATAAATCACACAGTGGAGGGTTCTCGCCTTTTAAAAGGTAAGTATGTGTAATTGCAGTATGTCCCATTCTAAGCCGGTGGAGACGCACACTTTCTTGACGTGGTAAGTTTAACGCTGGTGATGTTGTTACAACACTGGGCTTAATTTGAGTTAAAAAGGTATTGTTTTCTTGCCACGATTGTTGCCACAATTCTTTCATGCGTTGCAATATGCAATATTTTGCTCACTTTTTTTAATTTCAGGAACATCTATTTCTATTTCCGAGGCTGCTCTTTTTGCGGCCCGATCTGCAAGTTGCAACTTCATTTCCTAAAATTCCCACATGTGCCGGTATCCATACAAACGTCACCACAGTGCCATTGGACGCAATTGCAATAACCTTTTCTTGACACATTTTAGTTAAAATATCCGCCGATGCAAGATTCTGCAGGCTTGTCAAAGAGCTTAATGAGTCACTAGCTATTACAACTGATTGGAGATTTGGATTTATTTCACAGTATCGCAAAGCTTGCCAAATGGCATATTGTTCTGCAGTAAAAATCGATGCTTTTGGAGATAATGACCACGCGTATGCTATTTTTCCTATTGCAATAGGAACACCCAACACCATATTCAGTTCGTGATCCATCTGTATAGATTGTTACATCCGGGGAAAGCTCTGCCAAAATTTCGAATAGCCTTCTTTTCATTTCTGCAGGTAAGTGGTTTTGCTTAGCCCACACAGTGAGGTCGAGACGGATGTTTATACTTGGATATAACCAGGGAGGTGTTTCTCTGATAGTATCAGGATATACCGAGCATGCTGACATATTAGTTTCTTGTTCAATTTCATTTGCTCTGATAGAAAGAGGTCTTGTAATTGTTGGTTTTTGCTGATAGCTATTATCGATCTCGGTAAGCATAACACAGTTTCTGTGCTGGTGATTTGCTCTGATTGCAAGGGTGTAGGTCAATATCATTTTCGTTCTTCTTATGTACAACGGTTCAACACTAGACTCACAGTAGAGACTCATTACAGGTGTAGTGGGGAATGCACCGAGACAATATCTCAATCCAAGATTGTGTACAGTATCAAGCTTTCTTAACAAGGATGGTCTGGCCGAGGAATAGGCAACACAAGCATAATCTAGTTGTGACATTACTAGACTTTTATAAATGCGTATTAAGATACGCGTATCCGCTCCCCAACGCGTCGATGATAGGAATTTTATCACGTTCAGCCTAGATTTGCACTTCCGCACGAGACAATCAATGTGCTGTTTCCAATTGAGTTTTGAGTCCAAAATCATACCGAGAAATTTGTGCGATACTACACATGGAATGGGTTCACCAGCAATAAACAAAAGAGGATCGTAATGAGGTCTTCGTAATCTGCAAAAATGCATACATTTAGTTTTAGAACGTGATAGAACAAAGCCTATGTTTTTAGCGGTGTTATATATGGATTCTATGGATGGTTGAAGTTTACGTGTTATGGCACCGATCGTGTCACCAGAACTGATAATGCAAAGGTCATCAACATATAAGCATCGACCAACGGCCGAATTAACATTTTCCGATATACTGTTAATAGCGATGCCAAATAGAGTACAACTTAATGTTGATCCCTGAGGGATTCCATTTTCAAGAAATTGTCGCTCGGAAAGAGTATTTCCTACACGAACCTGACACCACCGATCAGATAAGAAGGATTCTATGAAACGTGGTAAATTCCCTCTAAAACCCCAACTGTACAATTGATGCAAGATATTGTATCTCCAGGCCATATCGTATGCCTTCTCAATATCGAAAAATAATAATAATAATAATAATATATATTTGTGTTTCTGCGTGGTTACACTTACACTCGTCAAAATTACATGTAAACAGATAAAACAAAAATATGGTTATTAAAAGTACAAACATGAGCATTACACTAAACTAAACCAAATTACGAACAATGTCAATACCTAATTCACAGATTTACAACTGTTCACGAATTCTTGATGGGAATAGAAAGGATTGACTAGAAGAAAGTTTTTTACATTGGTCTTAAAAGTTGAAAAATCTAAATTTTTAAATTTCGTGGGAAGGCAATTAAATAAAAATTGAGACTGATATAAGGCTCCATGTTGAGATTTGGACAGTCTACATAACTCGGTGCGTATATTGTTCTTGGAGCGTGTATTATAGTCATGTAAGTCGGATTGGTATATATTACTACCCTCATTTTTTTTTGCAAAAGACACAGCTTCAAGTATATAAATGTTAGGGAGTGTTAAAATGCTTAATTTGGTAAAAGTTGAACGACAATCATCTCTATACCCCAAAGAAGATATAACCCGCACCGCTCTACACATTGGCGATGTATCTTCAAATTACAGCTGTAATTTGAAGATACATCGCCAATGTGAGCTATGGCCCCACGCCAGAATGGCATAAGATATAGTGCTATGAATATAGGCAAAATATGCGGTTCTAAGAATGTTCCTAGATGTATTATCTCTTAAGCGGGTGAGTAAGAATATAAATCGGTTTAGTTTTTTTGTCATGGTAATGCACTGATATTTAAAATCAAGTTTACTGTCATTAGGGGTAAGCTGAAGATTAAGAAGTAAGAATACAGGGTGCCCCATTAAAAACATTTTAGTTTGAATACCTCGATCATCCGATAGTCAATTGATTTTCTGGTTTGGCTTTCGGCATTGTAATTCGGAGGCAAAAAGCTTCATATTTGGTGATATATGCGGCTTCATGGGGTACAAACTTTGGTTGGGACACCCTATAGTTAATGTTCTCTATTTGCATAATATTTCTACTTCAGGCAGAAACTATACGTATAAATTATAAATATAACTGCACAACCCCAAATGTAGATGAAAAAACGTATTAGATTTTTACGCGAAAATACATTAGTCCAGGGAATAGAGGGTTTTAACTTGCAAAATGAGAAGTAGTTCCAATTTCTTTTGCATGTCATAGACAATCATCTGGTGGTTCAGAATCTAAGTTTTCGACCTTCCATCCCTTGTGCTTTCCCCGTACCACCCCCAAAACCCTTGAAATTTGGTTGGTTTCTTAGTTGTTCAATCATATCTTTTTATAAGTTCACTTTACGGAAAAATATTGTTATCAGAAATTGTAGACCACAAAATTCGAGACAACTTTGATATACATTACGTTTTTGTGAAATATTTATTAAAAAAGATATAGAGCTTCAAAGTTGCTTATATTTTTAAGAATTCTGAAATTTCTATATAGATGTTTTAACCAGATTTTATACTTTACCTCTATAATTAAGAGTTTTATGAGAAAATATATTTAATTTATCGTGGTATAAATCTCCCTACCCTGCACCCTTACCAAAGGGGATGCATAATAATTCAACTTTCAACCCTTGCTAGTGGCGATATTTGAATCACTCTGAGATGGGAGCGCTTTCTAATATACGTTTGAAATTAAAAAAAAATGTTTCACTTCGGTTCAACTCTCCCACCCCCCACCCCCCGGAAGGGAATGAATATTTCAACCCACTTGCAGCGATTGATTAGTCAGATAGTACAACGCTTATTACTTATATTTTGTAATACACTCGTTCTACCTTTCAACACTCACTATAGGGGGTTGAAGTAGTCCCTTTTTGTAGGAGATGAAAAGAGTTAAAATGAAGTAAGACCACTTTTCTTATTTGATAATTGTATTCGAAAGCGCCATAATCACACAGTGATTCAAATACCTACTACGACCAAGGGGTTGAAGTGCTATCATCCCCTTTGATAAGGGTGCAGGATACCAAAATTAATAGCACCATAGCTTCATAATCGAGGTATTTTCTCATATAAATGTTATGATTATAGAGATAACTACAATTTCATTAAAATATGTGCATACATAGAAATTTCGGAATCTTCAAAATAAAGACAACTTTGAAGTTCTGTATCTTTTGGAATAAAAAATTTACGAAAAAGAAGTATATGACAAATTTGTGTAAAATTTGATGGTCTACAATTTCTAATAACAATATTTTTTTGTAAAGTGAACCTATAAAAAGATATGATTGAAAAACCAAAAAACCACCAAAATTTCTTTGGTTTTAGGGGTGGTACGGAGGAAGCACAAGGGGTGGGAGGTCGAAAACTTGGATTCTTAACCATCACATATTCCCCCATGACATGCAAAAAAATTGGAACTACTTCTCGTTTTGCAGGAAATGGTCTATTTTCAGTCTCTATTTCCTGGACTACATTGTATGGAAGTAGTTACAGAAATAAAGATAATGTCATGAGATAAACGGTCACCGAAGATACGAAAACGAAGATAAGGAAACCCCAAGCAATCCTTACATTAAATGAAGAACGTCCCTTGAAAACCCTAAATTTTCCTAAGTGTCTTACAAGAAATATTACCTTGCCCGGGGGATGTAAGTTCGGCTCACAGTCAACTTTGTCAGTTCCAATTCGGTTAACAGCAGCTAACAGCATCCCTACTGAAGTGTGGAGAGACGAAAATACCATTTTTTTTATTCCATTGCATTTCAAATAACGCCATGTACCGGCGAACAAACGCAGCTCGTCCGCTTCCGCTACGTAATTAATTATAGACGACGATTTTAAGAGGCGATTAAAGAATGCCAATTCACTCGAGCTTTCGTGGAAAATGCTATTACACTTAATTCGATAAATACTAACTAAACTAAATTACAAATAAATCGTAACAAAGTGGAGTTTCGTAATAAAATAGTTTAATTAAAAAGACAACAGCTACCCCGTTTCTAACGCGCGCAATTAAATCAAAAAAGAAAACAATAGAAGGTATTTAGAACAATTACATTATCTAAATTCACGACACGTCTTATATTTGTTGTTCCCGTGAAAACTTCCTCGCAAGGGAAAATCTTAATTTCTTATCTTCGTTTCAACAGAAATATCGTGAGAAAGGCGCTAATGCGACAGGGCACATATTACGCCACCGTTGTTAGGTTTCACATTTGGAGAAAGTAATATTATAAAGAAAAACCGAGCCTTGTTCATATCAAAGATAAAACGGAAGTTGCGAGTTAGGCATATTTCGGAAAGCGTGCAAACGCTCACGTGATCTTATAAAAAATATTTTTATGGATGGACACGTAGAATGGCCCTCTTTACGATGATCTTTATCTGAATAATTTGGATTGTTGAATATTGCAATGCTCCGTTCCATTTCTTGTTTTTAAACTAATTGAATTTTATGGAGAAGTTGTTCCGACAGAAGACTTTAGATTGATGGTGACTTTCAGTGTAAAAATTAGATGAACGAGGCTAAAAAATGTGTATCAACTTTTATTAATAGAGGCGCGTGTTCCGTTTAACGCCTTTTTTTTGTTATTATATAATTTTAGCTTAATCTGTATGGGTAATTTAATTTGAAGACTTAAGGGACTTACGAACGAAGTAATCGACTTTCAAAGTTTCATAGCAATTTGCACGAAAGTTTCTCAACTTTATGCTAACTTGGTAATTTTTGGAAACAAACTACTAACACATCCTACAAAGCACAGTGTAGTTCGATAAAGGGCCATTAAAAATTTATATATTAAACGAGTTCGTCGAGGCATTATTCCCGTCTATTGTCCGCTGCAGTGTATTCCGATAAAAGTTGGTTAAAGTACCTCATAACGATGTGACTAAGGTACTAGCAATGCACTTGGGATAGGTAAATGGGGTATGCGTCCTTTTGCTCGTTTTACTTGATTACGTAGTGTTATAGGAAGAGGAAAATTTCAGCCTAAAGGATTACCTACTGACTGCATACTTTTTTTCTATAAGAGCTTACATTTCCTTGTGTTCAACAGGTCTGCAAATACATAATACAATACAAGTTCTACGAAGTTTCTTTCTCTTTAGAAAACCTTATGTAGAACAAAGCTTTACTGCTCAAATTACGACCAGACTAAAAACAAGTATGTACTGTATCGATTAAACCCGAAGGTTCAAAACAGGGATGACAAAACGCAGTTCAAGGCGTCAGGTGTCAGTTTTCACACAGCGAACCATTAATTTTGAATCCTTAGCGGTCGTTTCGTCATTTTCCAAAGAAATTGGTATATATAAAAGGCAGAAAAGGTTCTATACAGCGTTGACTGATGCCTTAATTGGTATCTCATTAAAGTTATGAGCAATAGTAGACATACATCGAACATTTGCCTTTGAAGCTTTGATGTTATCACCACTGACACGTGATCAACAAAATCTGAATGTTACAGAGTTTGAGAGCAGAGTGGATAGGCGTCTCATTACATATGGGTCCTTTAATGATCTTCTTGAAACAAAATTTGTCATTTGTATCGTTTAGGAATCGCAGCTAAACGACTGCCTAAATGGGTAGGTAATTCATATGGGCTTACCTGTGCCCCAGTGGTCAACGTCAAATAATCTAAACGTATCGAAAAAAGAGTCCAGTCATTAACAATCAACATTTGAGAAGACAACTAACGGTGGTTCCAGGAGCAGTAAAGCGTGGCGCCACATTGGAACTATATAAGAGGAAGGATCAAAGAGCATACGTGCAAATAACTTTACTCAAAAGCGCGAACCTTATCTAAATTTAGGACCTAAGCACCCAAATATGCAAATATTAAGCGATTGTAATAATCACGTTATTTTATAGTTATTTACATAATAAGTCATGAAAGTGGTCGTTTACATGACGCGGAGGCTTATTGAAAAGTACGAGGACGCGTAGCGTCCGAGTGTCTCTTTAATGCCTCCAAGTCAGGTAGACTCACTTTCATGACATATTATGTATAAAATTTTACCTGAAACCGCAACATGTAAAAAACTTTTCCAAATTACATTATTCATGTGTGAAATTTTGATACCTAATCACGCATGCTAAAATCACTTTATTTAATTGTTTCCATAGAGATTTCAAAATAATTAAAACAGACAGTGTCATTTTTAACGCAGTTTTCAGTTTATACTTTGTATACTTTTCAACTATACACTCTTTATAACTAGGTACAAAAGCAGGTATCAGTGTACCTATGCAAGACGTTGTTATAATGTAGCCGAAGCTGCGGCCGCTGTAGTGCAATATTCGCTCCCCACAAAGTCAAAAAAAGGTACGAAAAGGCGTAGAAACCTTTTAATGACTGGCGCAAAACTAAAGGAATAATTACTTCCACACATATTCCATTTATTGTTCGTAATAAAAAACCATTATCCTTTGTGTAGGTATATTAATATGAACAAATATCCACATAGTCTGCATTATAATTATCCAATCGTTGATTGAATAACTTATTCAATGAATGATCTAATTGTTATTTTGCATGTACTAGGACTGTAATGGGCGCCAGGCAAAAATATTACAGTACTAGTCAGGTAAAGATCAACTTTCTAATGTCAAAATAGCCCTGAAATTTAGATTTTCTTGGCGGTTTCAGGTAAAATTAATTTATTATAACCATAATGATCATAATCATAATTTCAACCTTGGCTTAGACTCCCGAAATCTGAAAATCCGGCACTGCTACCGAGTAACATCTATAGATCAAAAGAGGTGAAAATAAATCGACTTGTCTCCTTTTTTTAAATATAAAATATTTGACTTAGTGTTCAACGCGAATTATTTGAGATATGGAAGTTTCTTAACTATTGAGAATTCTGTTTGGTCTATTGTTTCGCAAAGTTTGTGGTGTTTCCGCTTTCAGGCGAGAGCAACAATACACAAAGTATTTCTTAGGCGGTACGGTCTAAATTCGCAATGGAGGAAATTATTTTATGCAATATCCAGCAATGTATCTTCGTCTAAAGCACGCCGAATATGCTAGATTAAAGACGTATGGAAATTCTAAGGTATATCATTGCCTACATTTCTCAGATGAATTAATTTTGAAATGTAACGAAATGATGGGCTTTATTGTTAATTAAATCAAATTCCATTTGATAATAGTTATAACTGACACAAACGTTGGTATTGTTTGGGAACGCACTAAATTGTTTCGCCTAAGGAGTTATGTAACGGTGCCGAAGTACTTTTAAATTAAATTTAAGTAGAAAAGCTTTCTGGGCATTGTCACAAAAATTAATAAAAGCATCGCCGTAACGGTTATTATGTTATTAAAAGTGCCATAAAGGTCCACCGCCAGTTCTATTGAAACTTGTTCAATTCAATTCCTCCATTTGCTATTATGACGTTTCATTTAAGTTTAGAAGACATACAATAGAAGCACTAGCGCGCTGTATATTCGGGGCGAAATTAAAACTATCGTATTTTTAATGTTCATGCAGGAGCGATAAACTTCAAAAGTTTTGCTTTTAGTAAACGATGTATAACGATAAAAGTTAAGAAACCGAATCAAAAATTTTATTTATAAAACAATTGAACGCGCAGGAAAACTTTCTTGATCTAGATTTTCTAATCCTAAGCGGGAGGATATTAAAATCTTCGCGAGCTTTTAGTAGCCCTCTTTGTACTTCTAATGAATTTCGCCAACTTTGAAAATAGTAAACGTGATCCTTTTTTTCTTAGAGAATACCACTCATTCGAAGAAATAGATGAGTCTCCAAATACCTCGTCGCTGTAAAGCGAATATTAAGTAATTAAATTATTTGCAGAAAAATTTTGTCGTCAGGGAAAGTGCCAGTAATTGCTTATCGCCTGAGGGAATTGCATTTGTAAAATTGTTAACATTTGTGTATTATCAAAGTAAAAACGAAATTTAATAATTTTATACGCATATGCGGTAAGAAATCTACATAATTTGCGTCCTAAACAGGCGCCCTTAAATTTACATTTTATATTCATTGCTGTTAATCATGCAATGCTGATGTCAGTAATATTTAACCAAAAAGTTTTAATTAAATGTTGTGGATGTTTCAGTTTTCGAGCATTTATTTTGCTCTTTCTTCTCCCCATCTCGTCCGGTTTCAAACAGATAATCATCATGGTCAGTTCATTTGCGAAACTAGTACCTACCTATAAAGTACTTTGCGACATTTGTAAAAATTAAGCCCATTTAAAATAAGACTAATATATTGCTGTGTGAAATGGCAAACGGTCACTAAGCCACCCACAAAGTAACTGTCCAGCTATCTGATTATAAATTTCTCATCAAGATACGTCCGGCCTTCGCTACAATGAAAAAATCTCGATAAAGACGTTAATTTCAGAATCTCAGCAGTCTTGATCACATTCAACAACTCTAAGGAATTATTTAAACAAATTTTGAATAACACCATATTAAATTTAATATGAGAACTCTAATCTGGGTCGCACTTTGGGCTCGATTAAACAGACAGCTACTTCAGTGACAAAGAGAAAAATGTATTCAGTACAATTTAAACACATAAGCTTTCAGAGCCAGATTTACCACATACAACGCATGCAAGGGATCGATCGACAATTAATGAAAGAAACCTTAAATACTTAAAAAGAACGGCCGTCTCCCACTCTCGTCAAACTTGAATATGCGTCTTCGATCAATTAACAACTGTGTTTACGGCGAACATATGTTTATCTTCAAATTAATTACCTTGCGCGAAACGATAACGAACTCATTATCGCAAAACGGGATTTAAATAAGATAAACACTTAACGCAATTATGTCCAGATGTTCCCAATCTCATAGAGGGTGATACTACAGGCGCGAACACCAAAAAAAAACGTCCACATCCTGTTGTTTACATAATAGTATCTATCTTTTAAGAATACTTAGCAAGTATTTAATCGATAAAAAATGCCCAGAAAACATTTAGTCAGTCACACAGAAAATTTGCTGATGATGGTTCCCCAGAAATTGTCCCAAAAACTAAGAATCTCGGCAATATCTATCTAATATAGGAAAATATGGAAAATTCCTTAGGGAAGTCTGAAAGTTCACAACATTTTTTGAAGTTGAAAAATTCTATATGAGAGGTACCTAATTATAGGATAGGAAGTAAGAAACTCTTAAGAAAGACTATCTATAAATTTCTGAAGAAGGGTAGGCATATTGGGAAAAAATGTGGGTTCATAGAAAAGTTTTGCTATAGTTTTGATTTTCTCCTATTGTATGCTTTTGGGGTCAATGGATCCGTAGTAACCTTGTTACTTTTCTGGGCCCTCAAAAGGCTTACCTACGCCTTTATTTTTATTTCGCATAGAAGGTTTAAAAATATTCTAAAGTATATCAAAAAAATTCCGAAGTACCTGTAAAAGTCTTTGAAACATTTCTGAAGGCCTTTTAAGCTCGTTACACTGGCGCAACCGCATGTTCCTTTTTAGGCTTTATATATACAGCGTTTTCGTGCTTTTACGTGGCACCAATCAAGTTTTTTGCCCAGGAAATATTAATATAGCCATTTCAAATTTTTTTAACCTCATTTTCTTCATCAGCACAGAAAGCTTAATACACGGGGAGTGGTTACTCACTACGTGATAAAAATATGGTGGTTTACCTGCTTGACAGTTATTCCAAACCGCGTTTTTTACAATTGTTATATTTCGCGAGATATCCGCATTGATCTTCACAAAACATGACGTAGTTATAACACATGAAAAATAGTAGACGATGAGTTAACATTGGCGTATGAAAAATTCTTTAATTATCTTCGATTGTAGCCGTTCATGAATAATTCGAATATCATAAAAGCACAAAATTTGAATAATAAGATAAAAAATTGCCGAAAATCATAAAGTTTACATTTTATTAATTTTACTGTTATGGAAATGATTGTAAATATCGTTGTTCGTTCGAGAATTGATCAATCTCATCCTACGTAAGCTTTTCTATAAAATGGTGTGCACTAAGTGGAAAGACATTTTGTTTTCGCGATTTTACTCACAAATTTATCAATTGAAGATGTACTTACTTGCAAGGTAGAAGTATCCGCTCTCGTTGTAGAAATTATGCAAAATCGGTTTGATGTTATCCAAAGTTAACGTTTCCAAGTCGTTGTGTCTCAGATCGAAATTAATAATTGCTGGTACACCATCGAGGAGCGTGCTTCGTAGACTCTTTAACTTGTTGTAGCTCAAGTTCAATCTCCATAAATGCGTCAAACCAGCAAACGCCCGATCAGATATGAATTCAATTTGATTCGCTTCCAGATCCAATTCCTGCAAATGATAGTTTTAATTAATATTCCACGATAATGGTTGTAAATGAATAATTACGTTGTAATTACAGTGAAATTCATGTAAATGTAAGATATACAATGCCATTTCGCGTAGTACATCAAAGTTTAAACAGTTCAAATATAGGGAAATACGACGATAATCAATATTTAGTAGATGAGGCTATATTTAGCAACCATCCTGTTGGACAATTTAATTAAAATTTGTTTATCGAATCCGCGGCATTATCGATTTCCATTTTCCATATAATACATTATGATGCATTTTGCAACAATTGCAAGTTGTAAGCTTTTATCTACACTATGCAGCTATTTTACGATCGTCTACAATGTATGGAGTGGCATAATCAGCACTTTTTATTAGTCAAACTGTTAAAACAACCAGCGGTTTTCTTTGTTCGGTTTTATAAATAGGTACTAAAAATGCAATGTTTTACAAGTTATCGATCTGAGACACTTTTTCTTATTAATTTTGGTGCGTAGAATCCAAAACAATTCGTACTTTTTCGATTAGACTTCTCAATCAAAAGTTATAGACTAGAAACCAATTTCGAAAAAAAATTCAAAAGGCTGTAACTTTTGAACTAGTAGCCCAATCTTGGAACTGTTTGAAATTATGGATTCTACAGGCCACATTCTATAAGAAAATTTTTTTTCCCGGTCGATCTGAGACAATTTTTTTTTCGGGGCTCAAAAAAAGGCAGTGTATAACCTTCCTTTTTTACCAAAAATCGACTGCATCAAAATTTCTCGGGAAAACACTTTTTCTTATTAATTTTGGTGCGTAGAATCCAAAACAATTCGTACTTTTTCGATCAGACTTCTCAATCAAAAGTTATAGACTAGAAACCAATTTCGAAACAAAATTCAAAGGGCTGTAACTTTTGAACTAGTAGCCCAATCTTGGAACTGTTTGAAATTATGGATTCTACAGGCCACATTCTATAAAAAATTTTTTTTCCGGGTCGATCTGAGACAATTTTTTGTTCGGGGCTCAAAAAAAAGGCAGTGTATTACCTTCCTTTTTTACCAAAAATCGACTGCACCAAAATTTCCCGGGAAAACACTTTTTCTTATTAATTTTGGTGCGTAGAATCCAAAACAATTCGTACTTTTTCGATTAGACTTCTCAATCAAAAGTTATAGACTAGAAACCAATTTCGAAAAAAAATTCAAGGGCCGTAACTTTTGAACTAGTAGTCCAATCTTGGAACTGTTTAAAATTATGGATTCTAAAGGCCACATTCTATAAGCAAATTTTTTTTCCCGGATCGATCTGACAATTTTTTAAAATTTTTATAAGAAAAATGCATAGCGTGGGGTTAAAAATAAGGTTTCCTATCATAGGACACCTCTTATTTTAAACTCCACGTTCCCAAACTCAGAATGACTTATATCGACAATCGACTACCAACCTTCAATGGTATCATAGAACAGTTTCCTTTTTCAAATTGTACTGTGCCGAAATATTCAGACCATATTGTTTATGCTCAAACAAAAATCTTAACAGTTACTACACAATAAAATGAGGAACGGCGATAAAGATAACGTGACCAAAAAAAGACCTACATTTTAGTGATTACCTATTACAGTTATAGATGAGTGATGATTTGTTTATTGAGTTCAAAAGTGTAAATAAAGAGGGAAGGACGTACCAAGAAAAAAGATTGTAGAGAAGACTTAACAGTGAACTAAGAACAGAATCGGATTGGAAATTTAAGAAATCAAAATGGAAATGCGACTAATCCTACTCCAATTAAACATAGTTAAAAAAAAATATTTTGTTTAAATTACTTTGAAATGCAGGCGCAAATTGTGCTAAAGATTTGAGTGATCTACAAAATGATGGTGAAACTGTTAGTCAAATACAATCCGATCAGTTATCTTTTGGTGATATTTTAAAAGTGAATTTTGAAGACTACGGTGATATTAACATTCCAGAACAAAATGCGCATTTTTGGGGAACAATTTAGGTACTGGTAAAGATTGTAGTGCTTACTCCACCAACCAAACACATCTAACTACTAATGAAATAATTTTATGCCATTTCCCAGTATATTCTGCCGAGGCAGGTGGCTTATTTGAAAGTTTCAGGTATTTTTCTCGAGAAACTGTGGGGAGATTGCACAACTGAATTTTAGGTCTACAATTCCTTCAAGTTGCTAAGTACTGTAGCGTGGCAATTAACCGCTCTCTACTGGTAACTGCCTCATGTGGGTATCATTCCTCTCAATACCTGGGTGAACATATATTTTAATAAATTGTGCAAATTATTAAAACTCTCTCGTTCTAATTCTCACATGAGGGTACTTTTTTCGTTTCAGGAATCACTGTTTTGACCACAGTCTCTTTTTTTTCGTATCTTCAAATAATACTATATATCATCAAATTATTGTCAGTTTCTCCTTATGATCCATACCAATTACCACAGCACCCAAAAGAACACAACCCAGAGCTAGTACTACAGAACTGAAATAGCGACAGAACGCCGCCTGCTCGTCTATTGAGATTTGTCCGTGATCTGTGTACAGCCATATCCGCCTGTGTGTAGCTCAACACGGATCTGTCCGCCGTACAGATCCGCCGTACATATCCGCATGTGAATGGGGCCCTTTAGACTGACCTCGGAAGTTTGAATATAGCCCTTGATCTTGACAAATAAACCCTAAATGCCGCAGCTTTGGAGTACTGGGCATAGGTACTTACAGTATCAACTGTGATTGTTCTATTCACAAGTTTGAAGAAACCTAACTGCTAGATTTTCAGCTAGGAAGAGAAGAGAGAGAAGTAGGGTAAGGTCTCATTCATCGCTCTCTGACGAAGACGCTTGAAAAGGATCCGTTTTTCTAAAGTTAATTTTGTTTTAGGGCGGGGAGAAAAGCTCCTTTTAGAGAAGATTCTTCTCTTTAATAGCATTTATTCTTTATTTATTTTTTAGATGCTTGATAATAACAAATTTAACAAGATGCGAAGAAAATCGCATACGATTTTCATTAGGGCAATTTTTTGACAGCTCTCATTCGAAAACACAACTTTTAATCCGGCACATATTCAATAGGACTGTAAATTTTAACTCTGAACATACAAATCTCCTATGTTCAATTCTTAAATATACAACTCAAATGCCCCTTAAGATATGCAACTAATCTTAACTTTCATCTTTTTGAAATGTTTTTCAATAAACGTTAATATCTGAATTATTTATTAAATTTAGATTATCAGCTATATTCTGAATAAAAGGTATACAACAGAAGAAAAATGAAAATGTTACAGATGTATTTGAATAATCGGATAAACAAATCGGCTGAATACGTATCTATTAAAATAATAAATAAAAAAGTTTCTCTTGTTTACACTGCTGTCAAATTCGTTATATATGCATAACTGTCAGGCATATCAATGCATTGACTTGTACATACCGGGTGGTGCATGATAAGTAGGAATATAGGGCTTTAAAATGGGAAATTTGTTTTATGCAATATCCTGCCCTCCTGTACATTTTACAGAAAAAACTGTAGAGTCGTTCAGAAGTAAAAGGTGCATACGAAACTGTTTACATGTTTTATTACGCTTTTGGTATACCCGCAAATTTAAAAATAAATTTCAACATTTGTGTTATTAGTAGCTATTCATAAAACAACAAAAGTCATGGTTACTAATAACAGAAATGTTGAAATTTATTTTTAAATTTTCGGGTATACCAAAAGCGTAATAAAACATGTAAAAACAGTTTTGTATGCACCTTTTAATTCTGAACAACTTTAAACTCTGTAAAGTGTACAGGAGGGCAGGATGTTGCATAAAACTAATTTCCCATGTTAAATCCCTATGTTCCTACTTACCGTGCACCACCCGGTATATTTAGGAATTGAACATGGGAGATTAGTATGCTCAAAGTTAAAATGTACGCACTGTATATTAATAGCTTGGAGATACCTGTTATTTTTGTAGCGTGAAAACTAGTTGCTAGCTTATGTATGTCATTGTCACTTATCGCCACCTTAAATTTACCACCACCGATTCAACAATGCGCCGTTGTTAACAGTTTCAGGTTTTCAGAGTTATTTCAATTCCATTCGTAATTGACTGTCATTTCCAGATTACTCAGATATTTTAAAATTGCTACAAATTAAAATTATCGTCGATATTATAAACGCCCTTTCGCATTCTCATTCATCTAAGGTATTTATAAATATAATAATCTGGTATAATCAAGGATATAATTTTATATATCTGAGTGGCTTTCTATAGAAATAAAGTGGAAATGTTCGTTTGAAAATGAAATTCAGATACCGAAGGTATTTCTAATTATTTCAGAGCGTTCCCAAGAGGTTACCAAATTGTAAAATTACTATGCTAATATACAAATAAAAACTTCTTAACCCGCTTTATGTGTCAACTTTCTACATATAATTTTCATGTATTTTTGCATCTAGCTAAAGATCGCTTGTGAGGTATTCGAGCTTTACAATTAAGTTGGTAGAACTTGCCACTTCTTGTTGTGATCAAGATATCTACGAGGTTCAATTATTGGACCTCGAGTTTATACCTTTCGGCGTATTCTTAATAAGGTTTCGATAGATTTTTGTGGATTTTTACGTTGTACTGCATATAAAATTGACGTCTTAATACGCACGTGTTTCGGCTTTGTAATTGTAATACCCATTTGTAAGTTGTTTTATAGTTCATCCGATTTTGTTCATCTATGACCTGGATTCAAGCAACCGACAAAGATTTCGATTTCCATACAGTCACGGACGTACGTCATTGGCAAACACTGTGAAATGGGATTTAAACTCTAAGTTATGGCAAACTTTATTTTACATTAAATTATACTTCCGATCTTTCAAATGCTCTTGCTATTAAATAGTATCTCCATAGAGGAAGAAACAATTCAAAATGACATTGTAACAAAGTTCCCTGAAAATCGTCATTTTCTCCTAGATTCTGGATGAAAAGATTTCATTCAATTCTCGATATAGC